GGTGTGCTCATATCCTCAGCACGCAGCAGAGCCAGGAGCCTCCTGACCAGCCGTGTTTTCCTCCTGCTTCAAGAAGGTGGCCATGCACAAGGATTTGTGCCCGGGTAGGTGCTGGGCTGTAGCACAAGAACAATTCTCGCTTCCTCTGCATTAAGCAGTAAAGATTTAGTGAAGTGATTATCATATGCAGCTGTACTGGCCTGATAAAATTACACCGAAATAGTGCACTAAATTATATTGACAAGATACATCATCTTTGCATACTGCACGTGCTGGCTGGCTGGGCTCTCTTCTTAAACAAAGCACTGTTTTACAAAGCTAATGAATATGTGGGAACGTTTCCAAGGGCAGAAAAGCAACCGAGTTTTATGGCAGCTTTTTTTTTTGTTTTTAATATTTTTATTAGTAACACTAAAGCCGCCCCATTTGCATTCATGAAGACAATCATAGATGGCAAGACCACAGGTACAGTAACTAAACTCAAATGCATCACATAAAAAGAATTTATGTTTGCATGTAGTGCTTCTAAAATGACCATCCGAGTTGACTCGGAGAGCAATGCCTCTCCTGCCATATGGGTCTTCTGATACCGGACTGCTCTCACTCGCTAAATTCTGCTGAAGCCAGCAAGTTGCCACAGCTAAATCACATCACATCTGCTTCCTGACTTGGCCTGAAATAAAATTATAGCCTGGAATCCCACTAACATTTTACTACAGAAGAAAAAGGGGAGTTAAAGATAAAGCTTAAGGAGAAGACATTCAGAAGACATAAAACAAAAGAAAGCAAAATTATCTACTTAAACTGGAAGGCTGTTTTAATTCAATTTAACCAAACTCATAAGAAGCAAATTCTTATCATTATTAAACAAAAGGAACCAGCATTATTTTAAGGGTTAAGGGTTACCCACATGATGAAGCTCTTAAGATAATTACAGAATCTTTCTGAAAGCCTTAGGTTTTATATGGGAGCAATAAACCACATAATATATATAATTAGAAATGACGATGTACATTTAAAACAACCAAGAAACAGAATTGCTATCAGCAGATTCTTCTTTCATTTAAAATCCTTCCTATGCAAAGAAAAACGTTATTGGACCCCAGCCTGTGATCGGCTGCTTTTAAAGCTCCACTTTGCATTTCCCCTCAGCTTTTATCACACAAGTGCTTATTGTCACAACACCACATTTTAGCTACAGTTGTCTTTTCCTTTGCTAAATTCAAATTTGAGTAGCTCCAACAAAACAGAAAACTCTATGTATATTCTTAATCAAGTTCATCTCTTTCTTTTCAGATTTAATCTTGTGATTCTCAGAATTATCACAGCTTGCCTTACTCAGCCTTTGATGCTTATAGGCAAAAATAAAGTAGGGAAAAAAACCATCACAAATTAAATTTTTGTGTGAGTTTTTCATGAACCACTGAAAGCCAGTTGCAAACAAAAACTAAGATACAGGCAAGATTGCCTTGATGTTTCAGAGCATCAGGAAGGCCTCTTAAAATCCTCAGATTTTATTTGTTATTGTGTTGATTGCTCCTTTTTCAGCACAGCCAGTCTGCAACTGCCCCATCTACTGGTAGCAGAACACAGCTGTTGCAATAACAAGAGTGATAGAGCAGAGAATGAAATCTAACAATAAGAGAAATACAGAAAATGGAAGAAAAAAGATCATTTTCCAGACAGATTTAACACTGTACCATTACATACCTATAAACATCAGCCCAACACCTGCTCTTTTGTGGATGAGCTGTTTAGCACGCTTTTACTGATTTCATTGGAGCTTCTTGTCTTTAGTTGCAAGCTCCAGGACTCTGAACAGCTCTCCACCACCGTGCAAGTACGTTACCACAAGAACATCCAGGAAGCATAAGCAGAAATACAGGTGAACCACAGAAGGGTTAAGCTGCAGAAAGGAGCTATGGACCTCCAGTTTTCTTTTTAGTACAAACTTTTCAGTACTTTTAGCACTATCCTTTCCCTGCAAATCTTAATTGGGCAAATTAGAATCTCACTAGAGAAAAAAACAAGATGGTGACTCCATCTGTCCTATTTCAGTATTTTGGGCAGAACAGAAATACACCTCCATAGAGAGTCGTCTTAGTCCTGCTGTACTCAGGGAGAGGAAAAAGAAGGAGAGGGAGGTTTGTGGGCCATTGGTCAGCGTCCACCAGGAATTTACCTTTTGTTACTCTCTTGATTGTCCCAACAAGAGAAAACCCAGAAGCACTACAGTTCTGCTATACATAACCAGCATGCCTGATGTTATACAACACCACTACAGCAAAATCCCTCACAGAGCCAGAGCTGACCCCTTACTCCTCATGGGGTATTTACCTCCTAGAAATCTTTAACCCTCCAAAGTTGCTGAAGCCAGTCCAGATGACAGCCCTGACTATATAGATAGCATTGAAGTTTGCACCTAGAGAAAACACGAAACGCACCAAACCAGACATGTTGCTGTCAAAACTGTGCCTCTTGCTGTTTAGCAGATTTTATCTGAAGGAAGAGCTTCAGGGCTCACCTTGCAGTGAGACATCATCTGTTTCACAGCACAGATTGGTCTTTTAAATTATTCTTCAGTAACTGCATCTTTCAATTTCAAAAAAGGTCACCTCTCAATTCCTCAGATGTTTAGTATGAAAACTCAGGTCACTTGGGAGCAAGGTGTCCCCCCTGCAGCTTTATTCAACAAGAAAGCCATTAGCCTGCCTCATATCACCATGGGAAGAAATACAGACTCCAGATCAGTGGCATGACCCAGAGAACTCACTGTATGCCCCAAATAACACCAATGTGCTTGCGAAAGCAGCTGCAGACAGGAAAGCTCCTCCCAAGAAACCAGAGTGAGCACAGCCAAAGAGCAGTCAAATAATCCAGAAAAATCGAACAGATGTGTATGAAAAGGGCTTAAAGGTCACACACATCAGACACATTTCAATCCAAAAGGAAAACCAGAAAATGTGTGCTACCATTTCAAGGAAAGACACCTGGAAAATGACAAGCAGTCCAAGAAAGCTGTTGTGAAACTCATCAGCAGGGCAAGGAGAACATTGCTTAAAAAAAAAAAACAAAAAACAAAAAAAAACACAACACTGACTCACAAAGCTCAGGAACAGGCAGGTCCCTTGTCATTTAAGCAGGCTGAACTTTGAATTTCCAGAAAAACTAATCACATATACAAAACTTACAAAATTCCTTACTAAAGATACACCACGCAATCTGGCACAACAAATACCAACACAGATGCAACCCAGGACTTCCAATTTTCTCCTTCATACTGGTCGAACTCTTTTGCCTTCCAGAAGGTAAATCAGAACAAGCATGTTAATGCAACAAACCTGAGAGTTTCACAAAACCATTAGAGGTTGTTGAACTTTTTACCTTCAGTCTTACTCTTTACCAAAGTGACACAGCCCATCAGATTTAGAAAATCTGTGTAAACTTAACTGCGTAACTTTAGAGCAGGCTTTTTCTATGTGAAATTTTTATGCCCCTCTATCAGCAGTTTCTATTTCTGACAGGCAAAAGGTGTTTCAGAAGGGGTTTAAGAAACATGTTAAAACCTTGAGCTTACCAGTAATCTCTGTTAGTTAGGACAAAGTCAGTTCTACCATCCCTGTGGCTATAGAAGTCAGCAATCTGCTCTTTTGCCAGACAGATCACATTCGCACAGAACACAGTTTTGAGTAAGTACTAAAACCAGTTCTTGTATTTTTCCCCCTCCAGCGTATGTTGCTTTTGAGGTTACAAAGCCAGCTTCAATGTGTTGTGGTCCCCAAAACCACCTAAATGATTCAGGAGTTTGCCCAGTCACAACAATTCCTATTGTTTAGAAGAATATCTTCATAAGGAAAGTCTGAAAACGCGTTTGCCCTGCAGTCACAGAACGTAAAATTATTTATCCTAAGGGTAATGCTAGAAAGAGCTAGAGCTCAATCCCATGTTCAGAAGAGTGAGAAACATGCAGAGGTCCTCTTGCACAGTGCCTTAGGTGTCTTACCCTTTCTAATGCTAAGGGCCTTCTGTAAGCAATTATGTAGACTGACTTCCACTCTGCTACCCTTTCACCCAAGCTGCTGGGGCAGTGTTTTCCAGAGCCTCTGCAGCAAATGTTTCCCTTGTTCTTGTGATGTAATTCTCTGGGCTTGCATCTGCAAACCCCAATATTGCTGTTATAGCAGGTTCTCATGGGAAGAAATTGCCACCAATGTGCGAATCAGTCCTTTTCCCCTCATTTTCTATCCCTTGGTTATATTTTTTGATTTACACTGGGAGACTCAATGACATGTGTGCACAGAGCTTAATAAACCAATATGCATGAGCATCTGCCCTGATCATTTTCTGCTCAGTTAGCAGTAATGTGATTGTCAGAAAAAAAAAAAACAATAGGAAGTTTGAGCTGGTCCTAATGAGAAATATGTAATTATTATGGGAAAAATATGATAAAGGATCATGTGCTACAAGGACACCAACGGAGGATGCTCATTTGGGGATCCTGTCACTTCTCTTCCTACCTGGCCACTGGGGAGAGTTTTCCCTGTCCTTTTTCTCCCTCTTCCTGCTTTTCTCTGCCCCTGTAAGTTTTATCATTAGAACTGATGTATGCCATCAGCTATGGATCCACCAATAAACTTTTACGCACATAAACCTGTTTCAACATCCTTTATGTAACACTCCTCAACATTTATCCACAAAAGTTCCTTAAAGTGTCTAAGCAGCCTACTTTTACTGAGTAAAAAGTTCTTTTTTGTTTTAAATAGTTTCCAACAATGTTACCAGTTCTCCTGATCACAGTGTATTGTACCACATCAAGATTTTAATGCAGCTACACAGTATTACTAAAAGAGCTTTAAAAAAAAAAAAAAAAGCAGTATTCAAACTGTAGCATTCTACAATTTGTAAAGACTTGTCACTTTTGTGAGCTCACTTGCAAAGGAAGCAAAGGTGTTTTAAGAAAGCTGAATTGAGTTTTTTAATGCAGTAAAACTAAGCTTTACCTTCTGTAGGAAGAGGACAATCCTCACGAGCATTTTGGCATGCAGCTCCTCCAAGGTGAAAAGTGTTCGAGGCGTACGGATAAATATCTTGGTCTTCCCATAAGCAACGTCATGCTGAAATCCATGACTCTCTATGAGCTTCTTCACAGCATCTTTGTCTGAAGGGAGGTCATGGTTTGGCCAAGTGAATTCTGAGATCATTTTGTACCTGGAATTACAAGGTACAATTTACAAATGTACGCTTGCCATCTGTGTTCTCAAAAAGGCCAACCTTAAGCACATTTTAGAAATAATTCTAATAAAATTATTTGATTACAGGTAGAAGAGCTTTAGATATTTTGTGTAAGAGATGTGACCCTCAAAATCCGAAGTACATGGAAAGTGAATGTAAGAGGTATGATTTTGAGCCACTGAAATTATTGTGAGGAGCTCACTTCATCAACACAGAACTAATGTGACACAACAAACCTCATCACTGTCTTCCTGAAGATTTGGCAGTTCCATTACTCACACCCTCTGCATTTGGCTTTTTTTTTTTTTATTATTATTAATTTTCAGGGGAGAAAAGCTTTGGTTTGCTCACATTCTACATTAGAAATCAACTGTAATCAACTACTCAGTCAGACAACCTAGATTTAAAAATTCTGCAAATAATGTTCCTGTTCATTTTTGTAGCCATTTCTAACAAACTTCATTATTTACCAAAGCAGCAGACAGTTGACTGCCATGGTTTGTGCAAACAGTACGGCTTGTAATCACCACTCACTCTAGTGTTCAACCACTCACTCTAGTTCTTTCTTCCCAAACCTCTTTTCACAATAAGAGAGAGAATGCGGATTGGAACTAAGACAACCATGAATCAAATATGAAAATAATTTCAAAATACCTGCGCTTTCTAAGATTTACTATCCTTACAAAGTGCTGATTGTGTGAACAGACATTTGTAAAAAGCAACAATGAATTTTCTGCATATAATTTATGGACATAATCAAAAATGCAATAGACATTTTCACTGTTATATTACCCACATTCATGTCCTAAATAAAACATGCATGCAGCAATCTTAACCACTTCTCTATTTAAAAGCCCATGATGCAAGTCAGCCATCAATCTCAATATCTTAGACATTCAGAATTCTAAGCTACTCTTAAACGGCCACAACAACAAACCTTTTTACAAGGGGGGTGGGTGCACTAAAGGACTTGATAAACAGACTAAAATAAGCCTGGATGAAAATACCACACTGTCGCTTTCATTCATCAAATTAGCCTTTCTGAATAAGCTTTTGAAGAGGGGAAAAAATGTGTGTGCGCACAGCATCTAAGCAGGGCACGCTATCAGCACACAGAACAGAGATCATTGATAAATAAAACGGGCATATAAAACCTCAGACAACAGAAGATTCTGCATTTGTACTTGGCTGGCAAAAGCATTCCCTCTCTCAAAAGCACATGCACATAGGACATGAAATATTTCACGCTGGTTTCTCTTTCCTGGTCTCATCAGGACAACAGTCCTACAGTAATTAATTAACTGGAAAATCTTCCACCTCAAAACACTTACATTAAGGAAAAAAAAAAAAAGAAAAAAAAGACAATCAGGATGGCACTGCTAACCCACACTTTATTAAACAGGTCTGCTCAGCTGATGGGGACAGAAAAAACAGGGAGAGATGTCAGGGAACTGGAAACATGCCCAGCCAAAGGAAAAAAAAAATAATTCTCTTCCTACTTCACAACAAAAATAGGGCTGTCTCATTTAAAGCCATCCTAAGACAATGGGACCGTGAGTGGGGGGACTGGCGGTGGAGTTCAGCACAGCGCTTTTGTTCCTGCCAGGCCTATGCAGTGCCACCAGTCCCTTCCCCTGAGCGTGGCCTGGCTGCCGCAGCAAGGCAAAGTCCTGACCTCGCTGCTAATTATAGTGAGGCAGAACCCAGAATAAAGCTGCTCACTGACACCACAACCCTTCCCCTCTCCTTTTGCCTAAAGATCTTGACAGCTTTCAAGGTTACTTTTACAGTAAACATCCATTTCTCCTTCCCTGCTTAGCTGCAGAAACAGCCAGCAGGCACGAGGCTGCTACTAGAGCTTAGGATTCACACGCAGCTCTCCTAAAAACAAGATGTTTATGAGCCACTTGAGTACAAAGCTTTGCTGAAATATATGTAGTCTGCACGTGAAGCAGGGTCGTTCTCCCACCACTGTGCAGTTGATGGGTATCTGGGTGCTGTTCTCACGTTATGTGTACCACTACCTGCAAGCAGGCACGTGGATGCCTTCATGGTCTGAGTGTTGGGCTACACTCGCATGTAGCCGTGCCCGCAGATTCTTCCCCTACCTCAACCCCCCACCATTCTGAAACCCACTCAGCAATCAGCAAATTTTTGACAATAAATATAGACTAAAGCACAAAAAAAAAAAAAAAAGTATCACTGCTGTTTAAGACAGGTGGTCCTGGCGTGCATTTCCCACAATTAGATGTAGTTACCAAGTGACAGCACATCTCTTGGTGCAACCAAAACGTATGGAGATCTTACTTTCTACAAATTGGCAGGGGCAGACTAGTTTGCACAGAGCTCAACTAAGAATTTTGTTAATTTCAAGGAAATGTTGGAAAGGACGTTCTTAATTGTGCTTCACGTCATTTCCTTCCCCTCTTACTCTAGATCTGTCTTCAAAAGAGCCCCATTTGCAGGGCAAGAATCCAGAGCTGAAGGGCTTGGAGTCTCCCTCATGCTCTGCCTCCCAGTAAGTCTGTTAAAAAGGAAAGGAACAGAAGTGCCTTGCGATCCCTGTTCAAAAGCCATTCCAAAAATGTGCAGCTTGTATACAAGTCATATCTCCTAGCCCTTTTAAGAGGGGCAAGTCTCACTCAAAAACAAGGAACAAAGAATTTTGCCTCAACAAAAGCAAAACAACATCCAGGCCAGAAGTTTGTTGTTGTTGTTTTTTAATTTAGAAAAGTCAATGTAGACTGGACTCAGAGCAATAATGAGGTATGCAAATACAGTGTCTGATATCTTACACTTCAGATGTTTAATCCTACTCCTGGGTTCAGCAGAACAAATGTTGCAGTAGCCTGAAAGCTGTACCAGTTGCCATGTGCTAATTTGGTTTACTGGCTGTAAACAGCACTTCTGGTTTTAAGATTACAGGAGCTCATCAAATGTTCTTTAAAAGCAAAGCAGCTGCTTATATTAATAGTCATTACACAAATTTAAAGAGTAAATTGTAATAAATTCCACACGTGAGGGCAGAAGCAAGCACTAACCACTGCATAATGCTTAAGAGAACTGATAAACAAGACTGCAGGCTGTGTTTGATAAGTCATGCCCTTTCGTTCCATGTCAGGTACTGTGAAACACCCAGGAAAATCTCCACTGTGAACAGCAAAATATGTTTCAAGATCACTTTGTTTCCAACATGCAACATCTCACCTGCCTAGTTGTTTTTTTTTCTTCTTTTTTCCTTCTCTCAGGGACTTTTCCTCACTTGACACAACAAAAGTAAAAATCAATTCAATATCTTAAGAGGATAGATCCTTACTACCCATATTAATTTAATGAAGCTGTAAGACAAATTACAATCTAAAATATTTCATTTGTCACAAGTCTGTTAGGAATAAAGAGGCCAAGGGGTATCAAAACACGTTTTAATGGGGTCATGTTATTATCTGTTTTTTAGACTTCCCGTTTTTAAGTCCAGAGGTCTCCTCCTGCACATGCATAATGTCACTGTGCACCATTAAGCACTTCCCGAGAAACATAACGTCTGTCTCTTTCACTGCAACAATTAGACAATATTCAGAGAGAAAAGAGAAGTTAATTAGTTCTGGTTTTAGGGTTATGCTCTGGGGAAGAACCTCATTACACATTCCTTCTGAAGAGACTAATACAGCAAATGAATTTTAGCACGAGGAAGCTGAGCCTGAGTGCCAAGTACACACCTCTAAACACATCTGCTGCCACAAAATGAGACAGCATCCAGCGTCCTTGTTAGACCCGTGTTTTATTGTATCCAATGTCAAATATTAAAACAAACACACACTACCACTCCATGTGCTCAAAAGTGAGGATCACAAGCCCAGAGGACTTAAGACTTACTGTCCACTCATGGGGAGACAGCCAAATTGTTCCAGCACCCGAGCTGTCTTGCAATGAGCTGAAGCGAGTCACTTGCCAACAGCCTCCTTACCTGTGCAGAAACTTCTCGTACGTTTGGCGGTAGGCAAATCCTGCTCGGCGCACTCTCACATTTTCCAGAAGGCCAAGGTATTCAACCTGATGCCTGCAACGTTCCTCATCAAAAATCTGTGGTGACTTCTTATCATTGGGCTTAATGCAACGGACATAATAGGGTTCCTAATGGGACAAAGCAAACCGAGTTTCATTCAGAAAGAAAGAATCTATAAAAATAAAACAGCTTCTACATGAAAACCTGAAAACATCAGTCCACCATACTCATTTGAATGAGGTTTGGTTGTTTAACAGGAATTACAAGGCTAAAACAGAAATGACAAGTGGCACACAACATGTTCCTCCCCTTAGCACACTGCAACAAGATCTGTTACAGAATTGTGTTACTCATTCGAGCTCTATTGTCCTTTGCTATATGTCAGAACCAGTTTCACATCCTTCTTCTCTACAGACTTGGACGATAACAAAACCAGTCTTCATAAACAATACAGCAAATGATATCATTCATTGTCCCGATAGTCAGATAAGGCTTTTCCAATATCAACATATGAAAGAAGCACAGATTACTGTACAATTTTTAAACTATGCTGCATGCAACTCCTACAAAGCTTGTAGCAACATACTTGAATGATGGCAGTCACTGAACACTGCTCTGTGCAGGGCAAAAAGTGGTTCCCTTCAGGCTGGTTCAGCATCACAAGCACATCACAGCACCAACGCGAGCCAGCAGCATGCACATTCTTCTCTCTGCACCACCCTGGGGCTGCACAGGGCAGACAACAGCAAACAGGACACGAGGCACTGCTCCATCCACTCCTGCCTTGTGCTGGCTGGGCAGACCCAAGCCAGCTCAGGTGAGGGTCCCACAAGGCTGCACACCTTCCACTGCCGGTCAGCCTGCCCTCATCAGATATGCCCCATATGCAATCCTACAAGGTGTTTTTTTTATGTTTACTTTCATATTTTATGAGGTTAAAGGCAACTTTCAGTTAGGCCAATACAGTCTATAACTAGCACTAGCAACGCTTGTAAAGGGTGACTGTAATTTTTTAAACCTAATCGGTTTTAACCACAGTGGGATGTGAAGTTGATTCATTTCTTCCTCTTCATTGCTATCCCATTTCTAACTTTACAGGGAGGTAAAAGGTGGTTAATAAGCATTGTAAAGGCTCGAAGTGCCCACCCTTGTTTTTCAAGGTAAAATTGTATTCTTATAACCTCAATATATACTATTTTTAAGGTAGCCCTTGCAAAAAGGACTGGCATATTCTGCAGGCTGGCAGAGCCTCCTGCACAGCAATCTCATCATTAGCTGAGAAGTCAGATGAGGATCCCAGTCAGCTCTTTCAGCTCAGAAGGTCACAGTGTGTCTGGAGATGTGCTTCAGAGGATATGTTGAAGATGCACCTCAACTGGAGTTTTTAAAAAAATCTGTTTATAGCAACACTAACATTACGACAAACTGAGATAAGCAGCCTCTCTGAAACCTTAACATTAGAAAATTCAACTTAATCACAACTGATAATTAAGGGTTTCAGCAATTTGTCCCTGGACTTGATGAAACATCTGGCTGTACAACCACCTATAAAACTGTTCTCTGAGAAACCACAGACCCTTTCCCCAAGGGCTCTCCACAAGAGTCTGCTCTGTTCCAGTACTACCTGATGGTTTCAATAGAGATCTGAGTGAAGAAGTACAGAGTGTTTACTAAACCTAAAGGTAGTATAAAATTTCAGTGTGCATGGACAGAACTCACAATTTCAACACATGTTGCGGGAAAAAAAATGGATGAATTTAATGAGGACAAATGCAAAGTTCCATGGTTATGCAGAACATGAGTCAAGTTCATACTTTTCTAACAAAGGGGCACAGAAAGGGCAAAAACTGTAAGACAAAAAATATATCAGATTTCTACTTATCTGAACATTGCATTCAGTTTCAGGCACTGAAGTTCAAATGAGATGCAAGTGGACCTGAGTCAGTTCAGAGGAGAACAAGAAAGATCAGAAATCCAGAAAACAGGATCCAGAGAAAATACAGTTTTAGTCTAGAAGGAGTGAGAAGCCATATAACCGTCCTGATGGGCAGCACTTAATATACCTTACATACATAATATACCTAAAGGGTAGATAAGAGAAGAAGTAAATATTCTGTTTTTAGGACAAAAATCACCAGTTTTAAATACAATATATAAAAAATCAAGTTGGACATCAGGAGAACAAGAGATGGGAACAGAGTGCCTGCAGAAAGGAAGGGAACCCCCATCGCTGGAGGGGAACAGACTAGACAAGCATCTGCATGGAGAAGGGTAAGGCAGAGGTGTCCTCAATCAGGAGGTGAATTACTTGCATTCCCAAGGTTCCCGCTAGTCCTATTTTCTATGATGTAGCCCTGTTTTCTATGATTTTAGGTCACTCTCCTAAACTCAGGATAACATGAATGGCCCCAAATTGCTATTCAGTAATGCTGAAGAAACAGGATCATCCCTGAATATCCCAGCATAAACTGGAGGTACACAGCACTGACACGCGCATGGAGGTTTCACACACTAATGAATACAAATAAGCCAAATATGAGTAATGAACAGGCTAAGACATAGGGGCCTTGGAAAAGCAGAGCCTTGTATCCTCAAAACTGATATGAGCCAGTGATCTTTTGGCGAAGGTGTTGGACTGAAACGTTTCCCTGCTTTGCTAAGTTTGTGACACACAACACCAAGCTGTACCTTTCTCTTGTAGGACTGTCCTTGGGGTAGAAATATACTGGTGGAGAGCTGCACTGAGGAGAGGGAGCACAAACTAAGCCAGCCACGTGCGTTGGCAGCGTCCCTGCTCTGCCCATCCTTCATGCAGTAGCCCAGGAGTGGGCACGGGGAGCGAGCAGGTAAACAGCAGGACAAGAAGCTGCTGCTGTGGGCCAGTTGTAGACTCGTGGGATTGTTTAGGTTGGAAAAGACCCTCAGGATCATTACATCTCCTTTCTCCTCCAGTGGCTTCACCTCTCCATGTGATGTGCTTCAGGGATAGCTTTTTCACAGTCTGGTTTGGCTCCTTTCCGTACTGGGGAGATGAGGCAAACCTGCACGCAGTGGAGAAAACCGCCCTGCTGCCAAATAGCTGGCCAAGCCCCTGGCAGGGCAGTGCTTTCTTCATCCTGCCCTTCTTTTCAAAACTCCAGAGAGCAGCAGGCTCAAAAAAAGGTAGCAGCATTGAGGACAGAGCATACGCAGGATCTTTAAGGTCCCTTCCAACCCAAAGCATTCTGTGCCCCCAGACAGCCATGGGACAGATCTGTTCCGTGTGAGGTCTTCTCTCCGAGCTCACCACCACATTAAAGTACTTTCTTCTGCTGCAGTAATTCAACACAACATGTTCCTATTCTATTTGCTCTCCTTTCCTTATGGAGAGGATAGTGAAATACAATGTGCTGGCAAAATCTAAAGAGTTTTAAGAGATTTATGCATGAACTTTTTAAGCTTTCTCCTGAAAATTCTCTCTGCACTGAAGGTAACAAGGTTTACAGGGTCTTTATTCAGTCGACAGTCTCCTACCAGATCTAAGAACGTGCAATCTGCGTGGGTGACAATTTTTACTTCAGTCGTAGAACTCGGCTGTGCCATGGGAACGCGGCTGTCAGCAGCACTCTTCACGCTCTCTCAGACATCAGGTGTCAACCTCTGAAGGTAGAAGCAACCCCATTTGAACTTCAAATCTGTGTTGAAGTAGAAGGCTTGATGTGGTCATGGCAGCTATTACTGGTGAGGAGTAGGAGCTTGCTAGACCTGAAGCCTGCGATTTATAATCCCTGTATTGTAAGCTCTCAGTTGTATGGCAAGAAACAAAGACAAGGTCATTTATCTGCTAGAACGAGTCCTCTAATGAACTGGAAATGAGCTACTTAGGAAAACTGCAGGATATGCAGAGAACTTCCTGAAATACAGCTGAACTTAGAAGCTATGAAGGAGTCTGCAATTGTAAAGATGAATGGGCTGCAATTCTCCCCATCTCCTCCCGCTAAGACATGGAGCTTGGGCCACTTCTCCATCCACACATTAGTGAGCCAGACTGTCACACAGAGAGACCCATCCTTGTGCTAGTAACAGGGTTGCTAATATCAGAATGATGCTTGGCCATGCCACATCTGCCCTCAACACTGTTGTGTTGCAACTAATGTCAAGATGAATATAAATCTTCTGATGAGACGGATATCACAGATATTTATCACACATTCAATCCACTGAATTGCAGCATCTTTAGAACACGGTAATTAAGAGTGTGAAGTCAAGAAAAATGCATCTCTCTTCTCTGCCTCAAGGGAATTGGTGTCAGTTGTTCATTACAGACATTATAGCGTCCAGTTCACAGTTATTTGTTATTGCTACATAAACCCCCTCAGTGGTGAACCACTGCAGATTTGTCTGCTTGGGTTGTCATTCACGCCTTTGTCATTCAAAAATGCAACAAACCTCTGTACAAAAAGTCTACACTTCATGACTTCAAGCCCAGTACAAAGGGGAGAGAGTGACTATCTGCATTTGATACAAAAGGCAGAAGTCGAGATGCTGCTTTCCTTTTGGAAAACAGGAATAGGAAGTTCCTGTACAGACAGGAGATCATCTATCAGTGCAATTACAGTGTAATTAAAGCCTCTCAGCAACGACAGCTACCAGGGTAAATTCTAAAGTAGATTATTCCATGCTTACAATCCCACCAGCCTCAGCTCTTCAGGGGGATAATTATGCAGCTCCCATTATTGCACCATGAGGCTGTCAAGCCTGGAGCTGCATTTTATAAATGGAAGAACTGAAATACAGAAGCACAAAGGCCCCTTTTCTGAATGCTGTTTAGGTGCCTATTTGCAATTGATTTTTTTTTTTAATGAAGTGAAATGATTTTTAGATTTTTAAGTATTAAAAAGAACACAATCCAGTTTATAGCTTTTGCACCCTAACCAAACTCCTCCCTGAGAGATTTCTATTCCATAGTTTATAGCTCATTAGATGAAAGAAGGGATAGGACACATCCAGCACAAATTTGTCAGTTCTATGTCCAATCAGTCACAGTGATGACATTATAACTTACTAGAGATGAAGCCTGTCAAACTGGATAGGAGAGGTATGGATGAAGGAAAAAAATGAGACAAAAGGAGTTACAGAGAAGGAAAAAAAGAAAGGAAAAATATAAAAAGATAAATGCCAAGAGACTTCCTACAGAATCTCATCATTTACAGTCATGTCAGCCAAAGGACTTCCAGTATCAGTATTTAAAAGAAAAAGAAGAGCCACCCACAGCAATCTATCACAGAAAGACCAGATTCTCAAGAGAACGGTATGGGCAGTAAAATATGTGCTTGAGAAATGTTACATGGCAACACAGCAACTCTATAAAGCTAGAGCATTTCATATATATAGAAACAAACAAACAAGAAAAGCTCTTTGTTCTACCTATCACAGGTTTCTGCCCAAAAGACTCAGTGTATGTCTGGAGGTATTGTTAAGATACCAGCAGGGATAACCACCACTTCAACTCAGCATCCTCCAAAACCATAGTTTTTGAGACTGCATATTTGTAGGAACATGTGTAGATATAAGCTAAAGTCAAATTCATATTTGTGAACAGCTCTTGCAGTGTTACGACCACTTTCAGAAGGATGTGACACTAATCACCGAACCTCCTGCCCCTTCCTCTCTGGGACTGCAGAACTCTGCTTCATCACCGGACCCCAGCGTTAAAGCAGATCACCAACAAAACAGAATTTTAAAAGTAAAGCTAAATAACCAACTCACCCTGTAGGTTTTGATTGCATTTACAGAATTTAAGATTCGCTTCTATTATTATCATTATTATTCCTGCTCACCTAATTAGCATTTTTGGAGACTATTACCCCAAATGACAGGTTCAAAGACACTGTTGACACTGCTGAAAACACTGCAGCTTTTCTGGAAAGCCAAATGAGTACCAACGGACTGCCAATCTGTTCAAGGACTGTAGAAATCCTCCTCATAAACATGGTTTGAATTAGTTTAGGGAGAAAGATTAACCAAGCAAGAACAGCCCCGTTGGACTGTGAGGCTGGGATGAGGAAAGCAGCACTGGCTGTGCTTCCACACCGTGCACACTCTGGTAGCGTTAGTGAATCACCAGACTACAACAAAAACAAGCATGTCTTCATCTCGGTTTTTGAGAAACAGTTGAGAAAAGAATGAACTGGTATTACCTCTCCCTATGGAACCTTACTCCTCTGTCAGCTGCAGACCACAGCAGCTAACTCTACTTGTGCAACACTTTCCAGAGAGCTGTTTTCACCAGCTGTTACCACAGGCTTCCCCAAAACCATCCTGCAGGGCCCAAACGGCAGTCAGAGATGCCAAAGTTGTCATTGTTGATCCCCAGAAATGCAACTCTGGTCCCAAGTTAAGCATGGAAAAAATGAGTAACACGACCCAAGGGAAGAAGCTGCGGTACCTGAAATCACAGTGAGTGGCGCTGCCCGAAACAGATCGTGGTTTCACCAGCCCAGGAACAAATGCTCACCCGCTCACCAGCCCCAGCAGCAGCAGGAGAGCTGAGACAAGTACCCAAACCGGCAATGACTCAGAGGCAGGGAATCCCATTTATTTGTACTGCACAACCAGCATCTAGCAGAACATGGTCTGAATGCCTCGAGTTCTTAGCTCATTAACAACATGCACATGGTATTAACTGCCCAGAAAGCCACCTCGAAGAGATCCTCAGGCCACAAAAGCCAAGCAGCAGCACCATCTCTTTGCCCTCTGTTTTACTGTTGGAAGTACACAATGATTGTCTTCACGACCCTTATCTAAGCACCCTCTGGTTTTCAGAGTACACCAAAATTTACATCCTTTAAAGAAACATAAGCTTGATCTCAGGATGAGTCTCTCCAAATTTTCTTTTCTTACCCCTCCCACCCTCAGGACGTATGACAGCCAAGCTCTCCACTAAGAACAGCTAAAGCCCAACTACATAACTTAGTTTGCAAACTTAAGTACCCACAAACTCTGCTCTGCAGGGAGCATTAGCCATGCAAACTTTTAATCAGCAAACTCCAAAGTGCAAATTTCACCCACTTTGTTCCAGCCTTCCATCAGGCTAAAGGTTGGCCATAAACCACCACACAATTATGACAGCCCTTGACTTCTTGCTGCTTGCCAAGAGCCCTTGTTAAGTCCTGACAAACATGTCTGTGTAATGACAGTACTCCCTTTAATGGGATCCAAAACCTTCTGGGAAATACAATACTCTATGACAATTTTCTCCATTGCTATTAAAGAGAAAATAAATAAATAAACAAACAAACAAACAAAAAAACACAACATCATCTTGAACACATGTTTCTCAATAAAAAGTTAGTAGAGGTATAGAATGCAAAGAAAATATTTGTCTTTAAGTCTCTAACTTAATATTCTCCCCAAGAGGAAAGAGAAATCCAAGCCCATGGTATGGCTGGCTACAGCTCTAAGGTAAATGGCAAGTCGGGCTGAGAAGGAAATCTGCCCCATCTCCCTTCCATCGGGGTCACAGCCACCTTCTCCAGCCCAGCACTGTACAAGTTGCCATTCAGGAACGGTCCAGCAGTGGGGTAGCGGCACTACCCTTCTACTGATGGTGCCTGCCTACAGCACTGCTAGCCTTAGGCTGGGCTAATACGGGCATCTTCTCAGTGGCCATCCATCGTATGCTCACTGGGGAGAGCTACAGGGCTTTATTCCTTGGTCGGGAAGGTCAGCTAGTGCCTCCCAGATCACTGTTGGTTGGATTTGCACACCCTCCTTCAAGCGTTACTACTGAAGATTAAATCCAACCCAGAAATAGAATTTAAAAATATAAAGCAAATGTGTTTTCATCTCCTAATTTTGGAAAACATGAACCAACGTACTATTGCTTGTAACATTCCCAGTGCAGAGAGGGATCTGCTCGTGCCATTCTGTCCCCCAGCTGCACTGCATTCAGCCTCCTTCAGAGTTCATGCCCTTACCTATCTTTCTCCACACAGAGAAGTGCTGGCCAAAGCAATATTTTACTAAATAATTAATTTTTTTAGTGGAAAGTAAAAAGTTTCACTTCTCACCCTTTCATACAGCAGAGGAAAGAAGGAAATCACACAGGTCTGTCTGTGTTTTCAAGGAAGTCATTTGGCATTGAAAGACAGAAAGAGAAAATCTCTGCATCGTGAAACTACATCCTCTGAACACTGCCAGAAGAGCTTTATTATTTATTTGATACAATAATTATTACCCAAGAAAGACTGGCTTTACTACACTGGTCACACACTGAACAAAAATTCACCTTCTTCATGCAGGGATGGCAGCTAACTATCCCAAGAGATCTTCACAGCTGCCCATTGCTATAATCAAAGCTCATCTGCCACTGATCTGCTTGGCTCTCTGACAGATGACAATGATAGGAAGGTGACAGTCTCTCCACAGACGAGCTGCACCCTACTAATCAGATGGAGTCAATTTTGAAACTGAAGTATTTACCTTTGATGCCAGGTTGTCCACTAGCGCAATCATGGAGTTCTTAAAAAGGGTAGCAGCTGTCAAAGGTCGCTTGGTTACCTCAGTGATGCTCAGTTTACCTTCAGGCCACATCATCTTCAGCACGGGATTAGAGCTAAAAGACAGTTGCATTAATTGCATAGTCTAACAGAAGGGCAGTAAGTGTTCCATTAAATTTAAAATTCAACTGCTCGTTTCTGTCCAGATCTCTTTGCCATCTAAGTCAAACCAACTTCACATTCTTGGGCAAAAGAATCTTGCATCTGCTTTTGAACAATATACAGTTCAAGTTTACAACTGAATGTTCCAGAAAAATGACAAGTTCGTTCTCCTCTTAAGATAAAAATGTGCAGTAATGGGATAGTAAAAATCCTGCAGAAGTGATCTATCAAAAGCAGAACCTGCCTTACTGACACAAACATAAAGAATTTAATCAAGATAGAAAAGAACAAGACCATATCCTACAGCATCCTCCCCTACAACAGAGTATTTGATATCACGCTGTATTTCTGCACCATTCTTGATATATAAAATAATTCATATATTTTAGCCTACATTTTCTTGAAGGGTTGAAGGTGAGATAAAATGGCCAGGATGGATGGCAAGAGATCTGGAATAGACAAAAGCTGAAAGCAGTTACAGCAATCTAATAGCCAATCTATCACATGTTTTAATATGCCATAAGTGGTCTTTGTGAACAGTCTTTACCAGAGATTTAACTGAAAACAGAGACTAAATTTAATAAAACGTCCATACAGCAAATATTCTGCAGGTTTCGAGTTAATATGAAGTCTTGAAAACACGAACAGCAAGACTCTTCAAAAGAGTACACTGAGTAAACACGACAGGTCTGTAAACTAAGTTAATAGTTGTACTAGCTTTTAAACCAAGGAAACAGAATTGTCCAAGCAGTTGTAGGCTATTTTACACTGTTTCCCACCTCTGAACAAAGTCTCTGGAAGGCTGAGATAAGCCACAATTACAAAAGAATTACAACATATTTAATGCCAGCCATCAAGGAGAACAGCTTTCCGTAGCACCTTTACATAAAAATATGTTTTGAAAATTTCAAATGTGCTTGTCAAAAGCAACTTTTACATGCCTAATTAGTATTTATAGCAAGTGACTACATGGTTTAAATTTGTCATATCATAGCACATATGAAAAAGATTGAAATCTTTTTCTTCAGTTTTCCCATCACCCCAAATCTTTCTTTCAAAACAGGAACTTGTAATTGGGGCCAACATATCTTTGTTGACCAAATGCTACTCAGTATCTTTATCAATGGCTAAAGACAGATTAGTATTAGCACATCTGCAACTGGTCCAAAAACCTGGTTAATGACAAATCAAGCAGCACAGGTAATCTCTGTGCAGTTATCTTGATTGCACAATGAATTGGGTTCAAACACTTAAAATTTCATTAAATTAAAGGTTTAATCAAAGGAGAAAAATTAAAACAAAACAAGATACACAGAATAATAACTTTATCCTAAAACTAAACTAACAGCCTTTGGGTCATGGTAAATATGCAAACATCAAATGTCAGAGCAATATGTTTATTGCAATAGCTAACAAATGCACTGCACGCACTGTAAAGATTGCATCAGGGAAAATGCTAGTTTCTTCTAGCATCCACTCTTACAGAGTAGGATTCTGACAGATCAGATTCTAAAATCACCTCATTAATATTTTTATTCCTACCTGTTGTACATGAGACGCTTGAAGTCTTGAAATAAAGTGTCCTTGTTTTTGTCAATAAATCCACTGACTGAGTAACTAAAAAAAAAAGGGAAAGAGTTAATTGCGAAGTCCTTCCCAGAGCTACTGGTATCACTGTGGAATCAGTATCCTTGCACTCCTACAGACACAGCAGATGCTAATCAGAAATCCAGCTCTGTTTTCCAACCTATCACTAATGTGCTGCATGAGCGCTGTCTGAGACTTGGATCTTTCTGCCCAGCTTTCCAGCTCCAGCACGGCAACAACATGTAATTAGGTTTTAGACAGTTGTTTGCACCATGTAGGTGAAGAGCATGATGGCTGGGACATATAACAAGACTAGGGTGAGTTGCAGATTGCCCAAATTCAAGTTTTACGCTCATGACTTCCACCTTTGAATTCAAAGCATGTGTTTGTATGAAATCCTACAGACCTAAGTTTTGCTTTTCCACCTATCTAGTCAATCCTTTGCTTGGTGTCAAAAAAGATCATCTCGTGGGACACGGTCTCAAATCAGGAACAGTCTATAACCAGTGACAAGGGAACTCTATTGGAAATCAACATAGGAATTGTGGACTTTCCTTTCTCTATAACCATGGAAATACTCCCCCAGAAGGCTACTGTTAGACTTCTGAATTTCATCTCTTCTCCAAGGCTCAAGACAGGTACTCTGTCCTCAAAGAGGACAAAGGTCCAAAATCTCCCCATTCAGCAACTCCCTCTCAGCTGCCTCCTTGTACCACTGAGCTTCAGATTACCCCTGGAAACCAGCACCTAAATTGCAGACACTGGGATCTGGAGCGTGACAAGTCCCTGAAATCTTACTGCTCTATGTAACACAGTTCAGGCTCAAATACCACCTGCAATCGTTTCCACATTTCACCTTTTTTTTTTTTTTTTCTTTTTTTAGAAAATTTGTTCACTGGGCACTGGCAGTGCAGAAAGTTCAAGCACTAATATATAGCCTTGGCTTTTTTTTTTTTTTTTTTTTTTTATCCTTGGCAAAGTGCTTTGGAATCAGCAATGTATATCAGCAATCACTCAGCACAGACTCCAGAACAAAGTCTGTCTTCACTGATCCAGTACACACTGGATACCTTTATAAAATAAAAGTAAATTTAATCCCCAGTCAAAAGGTTAAAAAAAAATCCTTAATTGTTAAAATCCTAAATGATTTCCACATTAACCACCCTTTAAGTTCTGCTAGCACAGGGAGTTGCACAAATTCTTAGCCATTCCATCATTTCAGTGATATTCCAGCCAACAGCTTTCCTAGTGAGGTTTCTACCATATGGGCATCTTTCACTTCTAGTTAATTTTCCTTCATACTACTCTCAGATACTGTAGCCATTTCTGTAGAGTTCAGGTACAAAAAACTTTCCAACCTGAGTGGGAAAGGCTCCTTGCACTGATACTTATTTTAACTTAACACTACCCTGCATATTTTGAGTGAGCTCAAACTGATTTGAGAATTTAAAGCCAGAGAGTTAGATAACCATACTAAACAGATGTCTAAACAAGATTTTATTAGCTCTGTATAGCTTTCTTGTATAAACAGTGCTAGCTTTCCCCCCCTCCCGAAACATTGCTCTCCCCTTCACCTCCCCAGCTCATATTCTCCTTTTGTTTCAATTCCAAGAACAAAATCATATTCTATACAGCAAGTAACTAGCATAAGATCTAATTGATAAGCAATTGCTGCACTCTGTAATTCTGTATGACAGCTATTCTGGTTCATACCAGAAGCAGCATTAAATCAGAATACCATACCACTTCAAAGCTGGCTAGAAGACAAAAATAGAAGGTGCAACGTTATTTCTAAAAGAAACTTACATCACATCTCCAGCGTAGTGCTTGATTCGAAAGTCTCTGTCAAACTCCAGGGTTTTGTCAGTTGCACAAAGCTAAAACAAATTTCACATACATTAAAATCTCACCCTTGGACTTTTAAGTTTCACAGAAAAGTGATGTGCCTTGGAAACATAAATGGAAACTGTAGTTTTTCCACTTCACACGCACATGCGTGGACCTGAAATCCAGTTGTAACACTGCTTTATAATATTTTTTCATGGATGTGTTATTAAAGCATACATTTGTACAAAACCAACTTGTAAAAACCTACAGTTTTATTAACAAATTGAAACTACCTCAAAAATACCATTAAGCAAAAAGAGTATTTGTGCATACAGAGAACCATCACACCTAAGATTTCTTTATGCCCTTTTAAAAGTCTTCCTTTGTATTTTTTTTCCATTGCAATGTCCCTCCTCAGCAAATAAATGAAGAAATCAGAATATGACAGTTATGATAGCAATGCTTGTTCTGTCCCACCACCAGCAGTCACTGTAGTTCATCGAACACCTCTCAGACAGTGACCAGCCCCACAGATCCATCCAGGGTGGAGAGAGCTGCAACCCTCAATTCTCAGCTCGGACTTCACACTCATTTTTTCACTACAACAAAGATGTCAAATGCCCATGTGGCAGCCACTCAGCAGCAGCAGCCATAGATTTCTTTGGAGGAAGCATGGGCACCACGAAGGCTATGAGCAAGTATCTATCACCCACCCAAAGTCTTAGGAAAACAAAAGAGGAAATTAGCATGGTCAAACCGCAGGATAGAAGAGTTTATTAGAAGCAGGAAGATATCTTCCAGAAAGCTTTACCTGCGTCTAAGAATAGAAAATAAATTGGCTTAAAGAGATTAGATGTAAAATAAATAAATAGAAGTTTAAACAAACAAAAAACACAAGAAGGAAAGCAAAAAGTTTGCATAATGGCATACATGAAGGTTACAAAGGTATAAGAAGTCCAGCACAGCAGGAGCAGGAAGCATGCCAGTATATGCAGAACTGACAAACGACCACAAAGTAGAAGGAACACAGAGAAAATGAGGAAGAAGCCAAACCAGGAAAATGAACTAATTTTTCTTTCTGCAGCTGTGCTTACCAGCAAGGGGCTAGAGAGGATCTTATGCTTTTTTCATCCACCCAAAACATACATCTCAAACCAACATGTCAATAGAAGAGGTATAAGATGAGCAAAACCACAATGAAATGAAGCAACTCTTGCTGCAAGATGGGACACACTCATCTGTGTAAGCTTCTCACTTAAAACTCTTCCAGCATGGGAGATACTGGAAGGGGGCTTAACACAATGCTAGTTCCCATACTGAGTCTTTCTCTCTATGAACTTTGTGTCTACTGGGCAAATCGGCAGAAATTATTAAAAAGAATAGCAAGTGTACTGATACAGTTGATAGCCTGCTTGGATTTCTAGGAGCCCTTTCTCAAGGCTCCTTATTAACAACTCAAAGAATTCAAGTTTCTGTGCAGGACAGGAAGAAAGGGGCCTCAAACAAATAACTTTTGGAAAGATGGGAAATGGTACAACAGTGAACGGTCGGCTCCTACAGTTCATCAGGGAGTCCTGCAGAGGTCTGTACTTCCACCTACAGTGCCAACAGAGTCTTAAATGAGCCAGGATCTGAGGGTAAAAGGCAGGTGATCAAGACTGTTGATACTTCTTAATTATTCAGGGAAGTAAAGACACTGTCTGGCTGTGAAGAACTGCAGGAAGACATGAGATTCCAGAGGAATGGCACGGAAGAGCAAATGAAATTCACTTAAGTTCAGAGACATCCACAGAGAAAACCCAAAGCTCACGGTAAGCCACAAACCCCAAACTATTAACCCAACAAGTACTTAAAATACCCTCCATCTCAAAAAGGACATGGGAGAGTTGGAAGAGGCTTGACAATGGACAAACTCTATCAAAAGCACTGTCTGCTACAGGAGGCAGAGCCAAAGGAACTCAGCCCCTTCAGGGCAGGAAAGGAATGACAGAAGACACAGAGAAGTAGTGGAAGATACAGTGAGCGAAGTTTTGCTGTTTTAGAACTAGGAGGCAACAAATGTAACCTAAAAGGGAAAATGGATGGGAAGGAAGGAGCTCTTCAAACAAGTATCTACGCCATGGAACACCTTATCAATTAAAGAAGAAACACAAAACAACCCCCAAAAAACTATCAAGAGCACTAGCCCCGATTCAGAAGGACAGAAAATGGCTGGAGACTGGGGCCACATCAAGTTATCACTACGTTTGTCCCATGTTCTTCTCTCAGTTAGACCTTCACTGTTGCCTAGCATCTTGACAGATACGGAATCAGGTGGACTAAAATGGGTCTTCTCGCATTCCTACCTTCACAATCAATTTCTTGAGATTGACACCCATCAGAATTTTCCACTAATGGACAATTTAGGAATTCATATACTGTTCGTCACTGCACTCAACACTTTGAAATTACAAGATCAATTGAAGAAATATCAGAATTTAAAGAGGATGAGAAAATGAACCTTTGATGTTGAGAAGTCCAATCAGAATAGCTAATATTTACATATCTAGACTAGCAATGGACAATTCAGAGCTCTAAGAACATAAATTTGGCCACAAATATTCATAGTGGAAATATTTACCAGTCTTCTTCCTGGTTTGTTTGGCTTTCACCAGGACAACCAAGCAGACAGCAGCAGATCAGGCATGCAGTGCACAAACTAGGACACTACTATTTAGGGCACAGCAGCCCCTTAGAGCTTATCCACATGGAGCCAGTGTGCAACATGCTCTACAGGGGAGCAGTGAAGCATTAACTCAGGCTGAAAGATGGGAGCAGTTCCCATAACATATCAGCACATGTACTTTAACTCTTTAGGAAAAGCTTTGATCTACACTCAGCTTCATAGTATCTGGACAGATCTACCGCAGACGACGAAAGATTATGAAGTGAAATCAAGTCCTTTGTTTTAATACAGCTAGAAGAGGCTAGCTTAGAGGGCTCAGATTTCTTACAGCACTTCTAGATGAGATAAGGGCTCAATGAACATGATATCTGAGATAATCTAAAGGACATCTGCAAAGACATGAGAGAGGGGGAAAGATAATCATGATGCTGAGAATTTTACAGGTCAATTTTTTCAAGGCTATATTGATTTAAACTAGAAATTAGCAAGCCAGGAAGATACATCGTATCCACCATAAACATTATTTAAAACAGTATTCCTCATTTCCCTTCAAATCTGTGCAGTTTTCTGACAATGCCACCCCCTACTGAGGAATACTGCAATTGGAGATATATATATATACACACACACTTTTTTTTTGTTGTTTCCCACACTCTGAAGGGACTTGTGAAGGTAAGGACTTGAGCAGATTCTTTTTTTTAATTTTCATTTTATAACCTGCCACATGCTTTATGAAATTCAGTCCTCTTTCCCCATGGTATCCATGCAGCACCTACTCTCTCTGTGATGGAACCACTCCACCTTAGCAGATATAGTACCAATGACAGAACAGAAACTGAAGTCCTCTACCAGTCCTCTACCTAGTAACTAGGCAGCTCCAGAACTGGACCACTGCCCGCACTGTCCCATTGCAGAGGATTTAAGAATCCATTCCCCCAGGCTTCACTGTTCACAACTGTTAGTACTACCAAAGCAAGCAATTTGCACTAAAATATAGACACCCGAACTAGGCTTCATGAAAACGCTTGATCTCATGTGAGTCTACTCAGAATGTGTTATGGTTAACACATCTGCTGCTTAAGCACATAAAATCTAGGCTAACACAGAAAGCAAGATTCTCCCTCAGCTAAAATGCATGTGGCAGACGAGATGACAGGTGTGCCACAGCTAAAGTGCACATAAGGAAAACCACATCTGGAAGAAAAACTGATTTTATTTTCTTCCTAGCCTCTGCTCAAACAAGCCACAGCCAGATCTATTGTTTATATTCAGCCTCCCTGGAGGCAGTCTTTAGCACATATCTTATACAACGATGCTAATTTTATATTTCTGACCTACATAAAACAGTATGCTGGGGTGGGAGGGAGAAGGGGGGAACCAGCATTCGGAATGACATATTCCAAACAATGTTTCTTAGCAGACAGACATCAATAAACTGAAATTTATTTCATAAATGAAATTTGGTGTGAAGGATTCTCAAATTAATCAGGCTGGTGACCATGTTTTCGTTATGCTGCCAAGTGAGGAATAAAGCCTTTTAATTCATACATTGTACCAAAAACAAAGCAAGTCAAGTGGCCTGGAAGATCATAGGTACAACTGGAGATGAACATGTTTTGTAGCCAATGACGATGAAAAAACAACCCACAGTGCTGTAATAAAGCAGAAGTGTGAATAATTTCACCGTCACTATGTATTACAGCAGCCTGGGAAGAAAGCCACGTGAGCCAAAACCGTGCCTCAATTGGTTACAGATGACATCATGATATGTCAAAGCACAAGCTCCTGCTTCTTTTATGCTCTGAATAAAATTGATCTCACATTGGACATACTTGAGCTCCCTCTACCGGCTATAAAGCCATAGGAGGTGCCTTACCCAGACCCAGACCAGATGGCCTATTTCTGTAGTTAAAAGCTGCAGTTGCTCTTAGGCATTTCATTTCATACTCTATGGCAACAGTTTGAACCTCAGACATTCTTCAAATCTTTTTCCTTATTCTGTTAGGTCTAAATAATGGAAAAAGCATCACATAGGGTAAGAAACAAGATACAGAAGAGTACATTACCTTTCTGCTGGAGAAGTGTGCGTGCTTCCCTAGCTTGTTATTAAGAGCCTCAAGGAACATCTCATCTGTAACTTTTCCAACATTCATGCAGGCATCGTCCAGAATGGCAATGATCCCTTTGTGCTGCTGCTCTACCAGGTCGACAATGACCTGATTGTTAAAGTAATCAATCTGAAGAAGAAAAAAAAAAACAAACACAAAAACAAATGAACACGTATACTTGTGACTTTGGCTAGTAAAAGAGAAGTGCACCAGTGTTAGTCACTGATTGAACTGCACCATTTGTCTGACAGAGGGATCGGACACCAATCACAGGTGAAACAATCAGCTTCCAATATGCAGAATACTAACTCAAAACTAAGTAGGCTATTCTTCTGCCACTAAAGAGAGGTGGTAATCTTCACATGCCTCACATTAATTTTGTGACATCTCCTAAAAATCAACTGCTACATAATGCACTTTAAAATGTTTTTAAAAATTCATCTGCAAACAGTTAAAGTGATAAAAGCTGGGCATCCAATCCTTTGCATCATGAAAGGAATTTGAACAGAATGCCCAGAATTTTTCTACCCAAATATCTACAACTATACAAAATACGTAAGTGTTCAGATTAGGAACTCAGCCACAGAGATGCCATGAGAAATTTAAACACAGATCCAGAATCAACTGTTTTCCAAAACCATAAAAATAGGTTGCAAGATAACGGGTTATCTTTTTCCACAGTCTGATTTCCAGACAGCAAGCCTGATAGTACAATTGGCATGGACACAGATGTCCCATTGACTTGAACAGGAGCTTACTCATTGACCAACTTTACATGTGTGACCTATGCTGCTCGACTGACCTCAAACCAACCTCTCCCTCCCCTGCCAAATCACTCACATGCTTCCAGGGAATTCCCTCTCGCTGGTACTCTTCCTGCTCCTGCTTCAGAACTAGCTGAATAAAGAGCTGCTGTAGCTTTTCATTGCAGTAATTAATGCAAAATTGCTCAAAACTGCAAAAACATAAGGAAAAAAAAGAAGGTGGTGAGTTTTCTCACTTGGGAAAGGAGAAGGCACAGCACTGTGCTTTAACAGTATGTCTCACCTGTTGTTGTCAAATATTTCAAAGCCATAAATATCCAGGACACCAATGACTGTGTTTTTGCCATGTATTGTAGTGTCGTAGTTCTTCACTTCGATCACATCATTGATGTGCGTCACAATCCAACAAAAGAGGCGCTCGTATATAGCCTGCCAGGAAACAAACACTGAGCCATTTTGCCTTCATCTGTCTCTGTTCTTTCTGTTAAGTACAAAATACGTTGCTACAAAGTTTAATTCAAGATGCTGCCCAAACTAAACAAAAAACACAGATAAATTTCTGTTAAAATTGAACAATCATTGATAAGAAGATTATATAAAAATATTTCTCTTTCTTCTAAATCTCATTTAGCTGAAGTCTAAATCTTGGAAAAGTCACCAAGAATGGAGGTTACCCCATTTGATTCCAGTCTGCTTTTCATCTGTCTAATAACTTCCACACCTGTGAACTATTTAACAATACTGAAGAATAAGTTAGAGTTCAGTTATAGAAACATAACAACTGAACAATAGCAGTAAAATGTTCCTGTACACCTTGTAAAAGGAAAATGTTTTGTAGATATAAGTATCTTCAAAGTCTACATGTTCAAAATGTACTCCAAAGCTGTGCAGACATACCATCTTTGTGGAAAAAAAGTCAATCAAGGACCTTCAAAACTTCATCCATTCTTCCCTTATCATTTTATTTCTTAACAAAGGAAGGACAATTGTTACTCCTTTTGCTATCAGTATCGCACTTTTCCATAAAAAGGATAGCACAGTATTTCCAATTTAAGTTCTAGATGTTACTCTTCTACTCTCTACCCTTTGAATTTAACTTCTAAGGAAGTCAAGAACAATATTTTCCAAAATATTTAGCCCTATACAGTGTGTTCCTTTTGCAGATGCCAGCAAGCTAATCTTGCAACTCCCTCCCCTCTTTCACCTACCAGAAAAGCATGGCTGGTTGTGTCACAGCCAGGGAAGGGTAGAGATGGTGCTGCTCTGCAGTCCCCCTGTTGCTGCTATACAACACAGGAGCACACAGAGTCGGAAAAAAAATCAGCTTGAGGTAGAGATTTCCCCTGTCTGAGCAAGCACTATACTCGTTGATCTACCCAGGAAACCTACTGGGATGTGAGCATTGGAAAATGCAGTTACAAAACAATTCATTAGTGAGAGTCCTCCTCAGGTATCATCACTCTGTGCTGCACCAAGCACAACTCTACCAAAAAGCAAAAGCAAAGTGTCTGAGTTACTGTCACATATAAAATCAGATGCAGAGAAAGGAAATTTAAACTCACTTTTGCAAAGGCATCTCTGCCGTAGGTGGCTTCTTGTTCAGTATGCTGTTTGTCAATGACATCCCGACCTGTAGCAACAGTTCGGTACAAAAGAGCCTTCTCCACCATCTCAGATTTTGTTGACAGCAAGTCTGCAATGATTGACACAACCTTGCTATTTTCTATTAGAGGCGTATCACCATCCACAGAAAACTTCAAGTTCCCCTGCAATAATTAGCAAGAAATTAATTTCTCAATATTTGTATTAATATAATTATTTTAATTATATTAATATTTTAGTACGTCCTGAGTCCATCCATAACCCATCTGCTATTTGAGGCCTGCATATCCACATAACCACAAACATCCAAAATCAGTAGAAGCAACAAAGCCTGACTCAAAGGAATGCATTCCTGCTCAGTGTTCAGCTGAGCTTTTGGAAAAGAAAAATAACATCAAAGATTTCTGGAAATCTAATCAAACACTGTTTCAAGATTCAGAGTCTAGTAATAGTAAATGGCCTTAGATACACAAATTCCAAATGCAGCAGCTCATCTTCACTCCAGTTCACTACAAAAACAGTAAGCTGCAGTTATTATTGCAATACTGTTGCCCACAAAGTTTAGGTGAATGGTCTGGAGAAGCTGACAAATCAACACTGCTAATAGGATTGGAGTGACAACGTACCAGAACAGCACTGTTGCTCAGTACCTGTGATGACAGAATTCGGCAGCAACACCACCATATTACCTGCGAGTAGTCTCACAGCCTGCCAGCATGGCCTGACTCTGCTCTGCCTCCACCCCACTTCCCAGCACCGGGGCAGGACTGCGCCAAAGAGGAGAAAACTGAAAAAAACCTGCTGTTTTCTTTGCCACCTTCTCTCTGCTTGCCTATGGTGCTTTTTTTCTCAAGGAGGGGCAAGAACTGAGCTACAGGAACACTGCACAGGGAAGAAAATTCTGTGGGTCACAGGAAAATATGAGTGAAGGAAGGATTTCCTTGGTATTGGAATACAGAGAATTAGGAGTTCTGCTGTACCCTGCTGTGCTCAAGCTGCTAACCAAGTGAAGTACCATTCCTCCAGCATAGTCACAGTGGCAGTGGAGAGAGCACAAGGGTAGAAGGATAGTAAGGTGAGAGCTTCCTACCCACTCACTGCCAAAACCCCAACAATTTCTACTCATATTTACAGATCCACATACTTTGTGGTATGGCTGTTTTGGGATCTGGAATATGCAGGAATAAATGTGATCTTTCATCATTACTGCAGTGTCTTATTTCATCAAGGAATTTCACTCAAACTGGAAGCTGTAAACTGCATACAGTTTTCCAGCCAACAGATCTGCAGTGAGAAAATTAGATCTGCAGGAAGTACAAGTGCGCTGCTTGACTTCTGAAGAGCAGCCTACTCAAACCTGCAGGCAGAGAACTTACCAAGTGAAGAATAGCTGCCACAATTTTGTAGACAGTCTGAATCTCCTCTTGCTTGAAGCCTATCACTTTCATGGCATCAGCTACAGCTTTGAACTCTGCACCATCATTGATGGAACACTGAGGGGACAAAGATGTTTGGGACATGTGCTTAATGGTAGTGACAAAGCAAAGACTTTGAATGCCCATGGGCAAGACACGTGCTTCACTATTTTTCAGATGCAAGAAACTACCATAAGATTTTTGCCTGATTCTAATCAGTCTTTGTCCACTTGTATGCTGAACCCAGCAGTGAGATAGAGAAATCCATCACAGAACATTTTAATAGCTCAATATTTTCCCAGTGGAATTTGTTGTGAAAGTGCAGAAGCTATTCATAAAAAAAAAACAGAGTGAGAGTTACAAATAGTGCAGTCATAGACCCTCTGAGCAAAAGCTGCACAGCACCAACAGCAAAGTTCTGGTCGACATCTTTCTCAAGGTGAGCCTTTGTGCCCTCCCTTCCTGATCATCTGGTTTCTTTTCACTGCAGATTTCCAGAGAAACTGATAAAGGCCTCTGAGTAGGTCTGCAGGCTTGTATGCCAAAGAGCATCTCAAGAAAGCAATTAGGAAATCAGGCAGCCTTTTGTCTGGACCCCGCTTCCTAGGGATGACACTAGGGACCACTCCCGGCATATTTAAAGTGTTCAGGATTAAAGTGTTCTTGTTTCCTAAAAACCTTATTGGTCTGTTCCCTTCTTTTCTGCTCAGAGGCCCCTCTGAGGGTATGTCAGATATGAAGAATGAACGCTTCAGTAACTTAAATGGTCCTACTGTACAAAAAAGCCACAAGGAATCTTTTTTTTTAAAAAAACAAACAAACAAAAAAAACAACAAAACAAAACAAAACAGAGCAGCTTCTTCAGTTACCATTACAAAGCACTAAAAGTCTGTCACTGCTACGAGGTCAAGGATCTCTGGCTGCATTTATTAACGAAAGTGATATTTCCTACTACATTTGATGTTTTTTTATAATTAGAAACAAGTGGATGTGCACTTGTCTTCTAGGTCCAGAAGCTCCATTAAAAATAGCATACTAGTGTTACCTTTTAATATTTATCCCATGAATATTGTTTTCCACTTTTACTTGCTCGGTAGTACTTGAAACATTTCAAGAAGCACATACAATTTTAAAGCAAGTTACCTGTAACTCACTGACAACACCCTCACCTTTAGCTGTGCTCCAGGAGAGATGTAGCTGTACGCAGATGCATCCTTCTGAAGATGTAGAGAACGTAACATTTGGTCAGAACCCCCCTGGAGGAGCTGTACAAAGAGTAAGAAAAGGTGAATCAAAATAAAGCAAATCCTTCCTTTTTCATAGTAAATCAATCATTTTTATACTAAATAAATTCTCGTTCACCTGCTTGCCAGGTGAAACCATAAAAACATAAAGTTACTGCTATGCTAGAATCACCTATGGTACTCGGAGAGTCACAAGCACATATTCAAAATACATGGTCTGCACTGTTCTAGGGCTCTGCCTAGGTGACTGACCTTTTGAATGGTTCAACTACCTAGAAAACAAGTCTGAACTTCATAGATGAGATGTGTACACCTGTGACACATCACAGATGTGCCCTGCCAAGCACATTTATGTTCTCTGCTATACGCAGAGACCTTCCAATGGGAAACACAACATTTGTGAGAAAGGTGCTAACATGCTATCATGGACTACTGAGCACATAAAAATAAATAAAAATAAACCTACGGTTTATGATTTAAACCCCCGGCAAGGAAGAATAAAGGTTATACTAATAGACTGACCATTTCCCCCAAAAGACGCACAAGGGAATCACCATAAAATATGGAAGACATTAAAAAGAACCCAAAGAAAAAACTGAAGTGAACTCAGTGTCATAAAATTACTTCCATATGAACTAGAGGCCTCTGAGAAAATAGAGGAATTAGACTTATTACAAATTAAACAGTGAGTCAAAGTCCAGCATTCTACCATACTTGCTTAGTTAGCCTCCTTTTAAGTTTACAGATGTGTTAATATGGGACTGGAGGGTAGAGAAAACAAGCTCTTTCCCCAAAACAGGCCTCTTCAAAAAAAATAAAGAAACTAAGATCACCCAAGATGTAACAACAAGGGAATCCTTTGCAAAACTCATGAGAGAGTGAAAACTTTGTCTTTTGCCTATCTGCCTGGGAAACATGAATAAAGTAATTTGCTCCGACAAAGGAATACCAACCTGGTAAAAAGAATGAAAGCTTCGTTCTCCTGGCTGTTGTACAATCACACGAGACTGCAGGGGAAAAAAATACAGGATAGGTATTTCTGGATATGGATGGCTTGCTTCCCAAACACCTCCCCTTAGAAACCAAAGAATCGGTTCACCACTGCTAGAACACCTCCAAGCTATCCTCATTTTACAGTAAGTTTATAACAAACATTACTAATTAGGCATGATCCTCGTGTCTGAAGTCTATAATCAAGAAGACCAGCTTGCAGAACATCTGCAACATGCTACCTCCAGTCAGAAAGCCCATGTGGCAACTTCAGGATTGCTTTCGACCACATGACTATAAACAAATGTCCCACAGCCATAGCTAGGGCCCTACAATAACTGCTTCTGAAACCTGAAGACGGACTGACCAACAGCACCCAGCCTGTGCTGAAACGGACTCCCCACCCTAACACACAGATATTGTTTTAGGAAGCAACCAATAGCTCCATCCTCAGAGTGTTCATTCCAAATTCATGTAAAATAGCAAAAGAAAAACTGTTAATTGCAGCAGAAATTCAGTCAACAAGAAACATACCCTTATTTCACACTTCGAGTTCAAACAGTGGAGTGTGAGGTGTGAGCTCATTCTGCAAAGTTGATGTCTAATGAATAATTGTGTTTGTACCCAAACCTCAACTGCTTTCAAATGGGAAACAAATTTAACTTGATAGAAGTCAAAAATATTAAATAAATGATCAAGACTTAGGTCACTACAGCTGCAGCCCCATCCCTTTTTGCATGAAAGTATCATGTCTTTTTTTTTTTTTTTTCTTCAAATAAAATATTTGTTCTGGAAATAGACTTCAGGGAAATAATGGCAGAAGTAAAAAAGAAAACAAACAAAAAAGCAAGTTAGCAGATGTGGTCAAACATACAAATTAAAGCCAGACGTGTGTCTCACACATCATGAGAACTGTTAATAGACTCGGCCCAATTTCTTTACAGGGTTTTACATATTCCAGTGTTCTCAGCCACCACTTAATGACATGAAAAAGATTATGCCTAGGATCATTTGTAACATATAAAAGCATAGTTGCTAAATGATCACACAAGGCTCAGTGTGGGAACTTACAATAAGAATAAGATCTCAGTGTGGGAACTTATAAGGAGGGAGTTTTACAGATGTTAAATTCATCTCAGCTTTTATTTGGGATGCAAAACACATAGACCTATATGCACACAAGCTTCTAACACTGGTCTCTTAGATGGTGAACTCTGAAAGCAGTGGTGTTAAAGTACTTCTGCAACAGGGCAGTGCTTGTGCTTCAGCAGTGTTTCACTCTTATTAGTTCTTGGAGAGAAATTAAACTTTAGATTTAACGATATTCTGTGCCCTCATACATCACATATGGATGTACCACGGTTGAAAGGAAAACACTGTACAGGCAAAACACGTATTACTGAAGTAACTAAACAGAAGCCTTTGACTAAAGCTGAATTTGGCTTACCTTTTCAAGCAAGTAATTATTGATATGCCCACCTATTGGATCGCCTTTAAAATCAAAGTTGATATCCATATATTTTCCAAACCTGCTGGAATTGTCGTTACGGTTTGTTTTGGCATTGCCAAAGGCCTCTAATACACAATTAGATTTCAGCAATATGTTCTTCACTCTGGATAAATGGAAAAGGAAACAGAATGAGTCCAGACTCATGTATTCAGCCACAGATTTTTTTCATAGGCATTTTTAGAGAAGATTTTAGTAACAACAGAAATACTCTTTGATGGCATATCTAGGCAGATGCGTAAGACGTTAGCAATCCTGAGGGACATCACCTGGAAGCTTTTGGTAATGTTCCTTAGAGCTGAGCAAAAGAGAACCATAGGCTCCACTGAAAACAGCATCAATCAAAATGCAGTTCCTTTACATGCATAAGTTTTGAAAGCAATTTTTTGACTTCTTTTGCAAATAATTAGCTTTTTCCTTTTTCAAGGTAGGTGTTAAATCTGTTTCAGCAGAAAGCCACATTCTTTGCTGCAAAAATTTTTACCCTATAACTGACAAACACATGCTGCGACTCAAGAGCATGCAAACTTGAAAGGTCATGGAACATGCTGCTTGTGCTCAACATAATATACTAACACACACAGATTTTAAGCAAATTGACACAGAAAACATGATTTCTAGATGCTGTTTTTATTTTGAAAGTTTGAAGGCTTGAGTTCTCCCTAACTTTTCTATGTGATTTTAGTAATCAATTTAGTAGTCAACAATCAATATTGCAAAATTCCCACAGTAAAAGTTTTATGTGAAGAACACAGGTAAATGATGTAGTAATTGCATGCTGATTTGGCAAGAGACCATCAAATAAAATGGCATTATACAGTCTACTAGAGACAAAGCCATTTCACTTTTCTACAAAGCCCTTACCTTTCCACCTCAGCTCTTTGACCAGGGTTGGTAATGGCTGCTATGTACTGCATAATATATTTACTGGCCTCAGTTTTCCCAGCCCCACTTTCACCTAAGGGCATAAATACAAAAAAGTCACAACAGAGCAAAACAGCAAAGCAAATCACTGACAAGCATCCATCATGCTAGTGTCTTTTTAAAGCTCCAAATAATGCACAAATAAGCTTGAATTTTCTGAATGTAGCCATAACCCTGCCTGGCTGTTACTGCTGTGCTGACTTAGAAGCGGTTATGATGTAAGATTTCACAGGTCGGTAAAAGGCCTAGCACACAGAGGATCAAAAGGAATATTGTTAGAGGAGAAAGACTGTCATGCAGAGGCTCGGATTGCAGCAGAGCTCTGAACTGCAGTACAAGAGGCTACTGTTCAGCACCCCATCTCGGGTCTCAGGCCCTTCAGAGCTGCGAAAGCACGGGGACATCAAGGAAATGAAGTGCCAGGATCCAGATAGCGACCGTTCATGGCACAACCACTGCTCCCACTGTTAGCACCAGGACAAGCAAACAGCTCAGCCATCAAAACAGAGAACAAAACATTGACCAGTCAGCTAAGGGACAAAAATCAGCATTTCTCCAAGCTGCTGGAGACACAGGAACCCCATTCTCACTGATCATCATTCACACAGGCACAGCAAGCAGAGGCCTTACCTTCAAGTTACATTTTACACGCACAGATTAAGCTAATGACTGACACCAGCTCTTGAATCAGATAAGAAATAATTGTTGAGGTCTCCACACACAGATTCAAATGCAAATAAGCAGTTTTAAGATTAATGAAGCTTTCTAAAACGCTATCATTAGACAAATCCATCTTCTGCCTAAAATTTCACAAAGATCAAGTGTTCATCATAAAGACAAGCTCTTTCAGCTTACCTGATATTACAATACAGGTGTCTTTTGATCGCCTCTTCATCGCTTTGTAAGCCGCATCAGCAATTGCAAAGAGGTGAGGAGGCCTCTCATACAATTCCCTTCCTTTGTACTGCTCGATCATGTCACGCCCATAGATGTTCAAGTTTTTGTAAGGATTCATGGAAACGACCACTTCCCCAATAAACGTATAAATACGTCCTTTTTCAAACCTACCCAGGATGAGACAAAAGGGAGAAAGAATCAGTTAAATGTAGAACTTCAGAAGGTTTTCCAAGTAGCCTATTTAAATTGTATGAACTCTTTAATTCATCATTGTATTGAAACTCTTATAAAAAAAATAAATCAAAACTTGAATAAGGTCATTATCTGTAAGCAGTGGGGCCCAGACAGCGTATGAGCACATCACATCAGGTCTCTAAGTAAAAACGACTACGAATGAGGATTAGCTTCAACTTTTACCATGTACAAAGGAAATTTCTCCTGCTATTTCACTTATGGATGCATGACGAATCAGATTACTGTGGTACAAATGCTGACTTTATTTTTGAGGATAGCAAACCTCTGGTTTGCCAATGCAATCACGCCTGCTTTCAGCATCACTAGGTATTTCTGTTTCCATTAGTATACTACCAGAAACAAATGGTTTTAATGAATTCTTTAGTGAGATTTACATTAATATAATTCACTGCTTCTACACCTGATGATAAGCAAAGATGAGTTTGTGATGAGCGATGGGTTTATATGTTTCACAAAGTGGATTTAAAGGCAAATTCTTTATTCACATTCAGAGCTTATCCAGATTAACAGAGGTTTTGAAACCCCTCACTCAGAGCTCTAATAACATTTGCAAGAGAGTAAACAAAGTTACAAGCCAAGAAACAAATTACAGCCTTTCAACTTGAGCAATTAGCTTCCACTCATCCTTTTTAGTGCAATGGGCTTTTATCACTACTGTTAGATCAAAAGTAAAAGCTTTGAAAGAATCTGTGAAACAATCCTAAATTACACGTTTCCTAAAGTCTACTAGCTCATTAGTTTTCTTGCTGGAAATGGGATAGAAAAAAAATTGAAAAAATTTGAATCATTTTGGAAAAAAAAATAAATGAAAGGTCTGTTTAAGCTAAAAGCTGTTTCCAAAGAAATCAAGATTTTACCAAACTGTTTTCTAGCAGATGAGCACACAAGGAATTTCAGATTAACAGTTGAAGAATTCACACAACAGCAGATTTATAGATCAATCAAAACACAGCATCTCTGTAAGCACCTGTGTGCATCCTGCATTTAAATCTTACAGCATTAGATGGCACCATAACACCTCTACAGGCTACAAGAAGAGCCTTCCTAATGCTTCATGGACTACAGCATAAATTCTACCAATATTGAATTTATTACCACCCCCACGTGGTGACAGGCATGACATTTTCTACTGTTCATCTGAGAATTTTCTGCAGCGTCTTGGAAGTGTTAGTTTTTAGCAGGTGTAATAAAACTCAAGAAATGCAATCCAGCAAACAGCGTTCCTCTTTCTCAAAGCAATTCTGCCTCTAATTCCAGAAATACATCACTGCAAAGACACAGGAACTGAAAAAGGCCCTTTTGTTCCTGCATTCAGTTTTGACTGGAAGTAGTCATAATGTGCATTTCCCAAAACTTTAATTGGCTTGAAATACAAAGATATGCTGCTTGAAAGCTACCAAAAGTGTTTTAGAAAAGATAATGCCCGTAACAATTAGTGATACTAACTGTGATGCACCAGCTCTTTCCTAACTATCGCAACAAAACCAATAGATAACACACAGGCAATTTGACAGAGACTATGATGCCAAGCAACTGCTATGCAATTGTGAAATGAAATACTGAATCTCAGCCTATTTTCAAAAGCCCAGTTTATCCCCTCAGGGGAATAAACAAGAAGGGAAGCCACAGGTACAGAGGAAGCCTCAGTCCTTATGACTTGCCACCCCTAATTTTAATTCTCTGAAGTACTAAGCCACTGGGAATCGTGCTGTTGGGAAGACACCAAAGGCTCAGAAGACACATATGGGTGCAGCGAGATCTCACTCCAGGCTGCTCAGCTTCTGCCATCCCAACAGCAGGAGGGCAAGAGGGGCTCTGCATACACATAGGAAAGGTTTAAAAAGAAGAACCACACCGCTGCTTGTTGAGGAGATCAAATCACACAGGGACATACATATGTAGTGGAAACCACCACAAGGTCATCAAAAACTGCAGTCTATCCCATCTCTTCAGAGGCAGGCTGTCCGCAGTAGGTGAGCTGCCCAGCGAACACACATATTGCATCCCAAAAGTCGCTGCACAGTGGGCATGTAACCACCCCAGAAGGCACCACTCAGTGATAAAAAGACAAACACCGTGACTTCGGGAGGAGGTTTCAAGCCATACCAGAGATGCACAGCCAGAGGATTCATGGCAAGCACAGAAAGCATAAGGCTGCTCCTTTTAGCTGCTGAGAAGAGAAACAAAAACAAACAAAAAGCAAAACAACAACAACAACAAAAACATTCCTACAGGAGCATTGTGCCAAGTCACCACCCAGTACCCAATACTCTGACCTCTTCCTAAAGCAATGAATTATGTACACTTGCAGTAGCAGAGCACAGTTTAAGTTTCTTCCTTTGGCAGTTCCCTGTCCCTGGCTGCTTCAGAAGCAGAGCCCCCAGATTTGTGCTTGCCAAGGGTGTGCAGCAGGAAGCTGGGAGCATGCGCCTGGAGAAGCCCTGGCACGTGGGGCAGCCAGTGTGCTGCCTGTACGTGGCCACCACCTCAGCTTTAAGGCAAGGTTTAAGAGGTTTTTTAGACCCTGATGAGTTGTATTTTCAGCCTCCTTGGCAAGCAGCAGACAGAGGAGGAAGAAGAGGTTCCCTCTCCAGGCTGGCAAAGGGGCATCTCGCAGTAAGCGTGGCTTTGAGGACACAGACTTTGTCAACATCTCACATGCCCATCTACCTCTCTATCCATCTTCATTTCTCAGCATGGAGTTAAAATTCCAGAGCCGTGCTTAGATGTTCCTAAAACGAACAGCTACACCTCACCCCTCGCTGCTGATAAAGACTCTTTTCATCAGATGGCGTAGTCCAGTGCTGCGGCAGGCCAAAAACAGCAGTGTCTGTTTTCCTAGCTGCATTGCTTTGGTGTGAGATTCTTGGTTTTCCTTGCCCGAGAAGAACTCATGAAAACTTAAGAAAACAACTAATAACTGAAAGGCAAACGGGGAGGTGTAAGTTGTGTTAAAGTCGCTATTCTGCTGCAAGGCGAGGTCACACAACTGGAGTAGGAATGAGGTCTGGAAAACGCTCAGCGATCCCAGCAGACATCCACCGAGGAAAGCTCATCGTCACACAGAGTACCCCGACCACTTTGGTGCCTGCGTAAAATGCCCAGGAGGAGGGTTTTGTTATTAAAAGCCTGCCAGGGCGTTTTAAAAGGAACTGCCTCTCCTTATTCCCTCAGTCAAACCCCATTTTGTAATTTTGTATGCACCGCAAAAATCATGAATGTGCTGCAAGGAGAGGAGATTGTTATGGGGAAATAACAATTGTATTACTTCCAGTAATTTCTCTATCACCGTCTTCTGAATTTTCCACTTATTACTCTGGCATCTGGAAACTAGCTCAGCAGCCAAAAGGAAAGGCACAGTCTGTGTGTTATTTTGGTGAAGTATGTCAGCTCTTTCATGAGAAGTTTTTACACTAGTTTTTATTACCTCGTTAAAACATCGATTGATGGTGAGAAAATATAAACCAGTAGGTCACAGAATATAAATCTTCTAAAGGGACAGAAGTGATTGTTTAGGAAAGAAGAGGGCCAAGGAAAGAATAGGACTCTTAATTGTTTTGTGTTTTTTATTTTTAGGGAAAGGAGCTGAAAACAAAAATGCTTAAGTCCAGACATAAGCGAAACAACCCGACACCACCTACTGATTCTTTAAATTTTAATGGAAAACATGAAGTATCAAATAAAATTTTAAATACATCTGCTATGCAAATATGCATCTTTTCAGAAACAGTTACGTATCATATGTTCACATCTAACTGCCATTGGACAACAGACTGTGGAAATCAGAGGGCTGAAGCAGAAATCCTCACCACCAGAGAGCACTCACATTTAGGATTTCTCCCACCTGACAAACACTCCAGTCAAAAATAAAACTGTTCTTACCGAGGAAATGATGCAACTTCAAATGCACTCAGTACAAATAAAGAAAAGATTTAGTTGGCAAGACTTGGAACCAATACTCCAAAACAACATCTGCAGAATGCAGACCATTAAAAAAAGGCACCCTACCAGGCAATCACCACTCCAAAGGCTGCAATTCAAATTATAAAGGCATTTCATAATTAATCATTTACTTGTCACTCCTCTGTACCGCCAGATAAACAGAAACTTGTTGGGATCGCAGACAGCCAGCATCATTCTGCAGGCTCATTGCTATTTCTAGAATTCAGCATACTTTCTGAGATAACCTGTGCCAGGAGCAGGGGGATCAGTTTGCAGTGAGATCACAGCCTGGGCTTCACTGGGGTGTGAAACTGCTCCTCAGAAACACATTTTGCCAGTCTTTCCCTCCATCTGTCTAATACTCAAGCAGAGCAACTGCTGGAAAAATCATGTCAATTCTCCAACCATCTCATTTTGCACTGCTTTAAGGCAGCTGAGCATAGATACCAGTTTTATGGATCATTTTCTTCTGGGAAAAGACTTTCTCTCACATGGAACTCCTTTCCCTCCTGAGCACGGACTGACATAACATCCTGCTCTGCATCCTTGTAGACACACAAAAGCTTCTCCCACTTTAGCAGGTACTCAGTACACCTCCCTGGTCTCGCCTCTTCCCGCTGCTGGATGACACCGATGTGATGCTCCAGAAGCAGAACGTCTTCACAACAAGAGGTCACAACTTGGCCAGCACCTAACGACTGGTCTTTGGTTTATCTATGCAGCAGTGGCCCAGCGTAAAGGAAACATTAACAGGAAAAGCAAAAGCAAATAATCCAGAGATATAGGAGGGATACAGAAGCCTCAGCCTGTGATAGTCAATAGCCAATGTAGTAACAGTGATGTTTTAAAGAACAAGGGCCGAGGGTTTCAAATGATTATTTCCAATTTATTAACTCCAAAGCATAATCAAATCAAAACACTTGGTGCGAGTACTCTTTCTTCCTTGCTCCTTTGTGCATGGGAAGCAGAC